GGAATTTTATGCAGCCATGAAGAAGAATGAAATCTTATCACTTGCAAGTAAATGGATGGAACTGGAGAACAAAATTCTGAGCAAGGTTAGCCAGGCCCAGAACCAAAAATCCTATGTGCTCCCTCATATGTGGACTTTATTTATTTATTTATTATTTATTTATTTCCTTTATTCATACGTGCATACAATGATTGGGTCATTACTCCCCCGTCCCCCTCCTTTTCCCCTCACCCCCTCCCTCACGCCCCCACCCCCTCGCTTCCAAGCAGGAACTGTTTTGCCCTTATCTCTAATTTTGTTGAAGAGAGAGTATAAACATTAATAAGGAGGACCAGGGGTTTTTGCTAGTTGAGGTGAGGATAGCTATACAGGGAGATTCCTAGCATTGCATCCATGTACATATGTGTTACTTTCTAAGTTGATTCTTATACAGCAAGGGGATTGGACTTTGGTCACATGATAAGGCGAGAACACACAAGGGTGGTATGAGGATAGGTAAGAAACCCCCAAAAAACAAGATAGCATTTGATGTCCTCAGTGCAAAGGAACTAATGCAGAAACTTTAAAGCATCAGAGGCCAATAGGAGAAGGGGACCAGGAACTAGAGAAAAGGTTAGTTCAAGAAGAATCAACTTAGAATGCAACACATATGTACAGGAAAGCAATGCAAGGAATCTCCCTGTATAGCTATTCTTATCCAACTAGCAAAAACCCTTGGTCCTTCCTATTATTGCTTATATTCTCTCTTCAACAAAATTAGAGATAAGGGCAAAACAGTTTCTGCCTGGAAGCGAGGGGGTTGGGGAGAAGCGAAGGGGGCGGGGGAGGGAGGGGGCAGGGGGAAGCAGGGACAAGTGACCCAAACATTGTATGCACATATGAATAAAAGAAATTAAAAAAAAAAAGTAATTCTATATACCGCCTGAAGTGGTGGGAGATGGAAATCCAGAATACTCTTCCCTAATACACCAAAAGTTTTTATTTTCTAGTTTTGACAGGAAGGTCATCTCTTCCTTTTAAAGCAAATTTTCACATCTATGCTATTACTTATTTCCATCCACACTCTTTTAATACATCACTGTACACCCGTAATCCCAGTACTCTGGAGGTTAAGGCAGGAGAACCCAGAGAATTTGAGGCCAGTCTGGGCTACACAGAGAGTTCCGGGCCAGCCTGGGCTATGGAGTGAGACCCTGTCTCAAAAAACCAACAAAATGGAATAAAACAACAACAACAACAACAACAAAGACAGCACTGTCTCAAATAGTACCTTTCCCTGAAGTCACTTGCATTATTTCCTCTCTATGGGCTCCTTTCATTCTTCCCTAAAACATGGACAGCCTTATTGTGTGAAATAGGCCAGCTTCTGAAACAGCAAAGAGCATATGAAGCCTGGAAGGAGAGGAGGCATGGAGTGTCTTAAGTATAATTTCTGTATATTACTAAGAGATCTGATTCCTTAGGTATGGGTGATTGTACCTTAGGAATGACTAGAAGTGAATAAAGTTTGTATCCCATGTAACAGTTTTTGACTGGTATTTAGATTTTATTACATTAATACAACTGGTTTGAATGAGGGAAAAATAATGAAATGTAAACTCAATATAAACAAGGGTATTAATTATAAGTCTTTGGTGAATTGGCAGGTGTCTGTGACTTGGCAACTGTGTGACAACCTTAGGGACCTCAGGAATGGGAGGATTTTCCAAAGGTGTCTGAAGAATAGGAATAAACATTAACTTGAATAATATTCAAAATGAATCCTTAATTGCTTCAGGCAGGAATAAATAAGTGCCCAAGATTCAGTGAACATTTATAATCAGCAAATTCTAGATGCAAAGAGGATTACTAAATGACATAAAAGGACCCCCGTCCCCCCAAACAGACATTGAGAAAATCGAAAATAAAACAACTGTCTGACATTTCTTCTCTTGAAGACTATGTACAGGAAATGACAGTCCCTAGTCTAACTATCTGGAATTCTAAATGATAAAATGAAATAATAATCCTGGAATGTTTTGCTGAGTTGTAGTCTCATAAACATTTAAACCACTACTTTATGTCCATCTGTGATTCTTCCTGAAATACTTGCGATCTTAGTCGAAGAAAGTTTGCATTTACTTTATTGGATCCTTTACCCTCTGGGAAAACCTTATTAAAAGAAACACTCTTTGCTTGATCTCAAAGTCACACATTAGAGTTCACGCAAGCAGTCACCTTATTTTTCTTTTTGTTCATTATTTGTATTTATTGAAATCTACTGACATATGCTCACATTTAAAGCATTTTTTTAAGTTAGCAATTCACATGTTATCCCACTTGGAACAGTCTCTTGTCTAATTATTCTGTTGTAATGACACCAAAAGGGCAATGATTGCTTACTTACTTAATCCAACAGTTTTACAGTAGGTCTTTTCACCTGGTTGCCTCTGCATAAGCTGATGTTTTGTACCAAAACTTTGAAACTTTTCCTTTTTCCACTTTGAAGTCATATTTTGAATTTCATTCTAACCCCTCTGGCCTGTTCCATCTCAATCCTTAATTGACTCTCGTTGCTCTTTCCAAAATAGAGAATTCTCTTCAGATCTCATTCTTAGCTCTCGATCTGTATTAGACCAAGGATCGGCTGCATTCCTATACTTGACTCATCAGTTTTGCTGATCTCTATCTACAACCCCATGTCTCAGCTTTACTCCCACATTTAGGATCATCTGCTGTACATTTCCTTTCAACTGTCACCTCACATCCACTCTTTGAAAGTGTCCTGGAATTTGGCTTTTCACCCCGAATTCCCTATTTCTGATAATGGCATAATCCTCTTCTAGGAACTGCATGTTTGGATGCTTTAGTGTGCTTCAGTGTTTGTCCCCCAGTCTTCCATGCACAAGTCACTGCATTTGGCTGCCCCTCCCCTCAAAATATTTCATGTATTTGATTTTTCTCCATTTCCACAGCTAGCACCCTGATTTAAGTACCATAATTGTATGTCTGAAATTCCTTCCAGGGAACCCTCTTTCCCATGTCTGGGGCAAATTCTTCACACCAGGCACTCAAGATCCTCCTCCATTTAGACTGATTCCTCAGAGAAGGAAAGACAGGCTGGTGCCAGGCCACACTTGAGTCTTCATCCATCCCACCTTCCCTCATATGAGTCCTTCCTTGCAGATTTTGAGGAAGGGTCCCCAGTACTTACAACTTACTCATATACCTCCGGTGTTTTCAGGGGCATTCTTTAGTGTATGTTAAGCTTTCCCAGAAAATTCTAGTCCATGGCGTAAACTTTTCCTTTTATTTAAACCACCTGCACATTTACTATACATATCTAAAACACCTGTTTCACTATTTTTTTCTCATGAAGTAAATGATCATTGACTAACAGGCTATTATAACTCTGATAGAAATTCTACAATTTCTAGACATATTACTTTCTATATTATAGTGAGCAACAAGAATGGAGCCTACTATAAGCACAACTTTAAAAAAAAATCAACCAGTCTAGTCTATGGAATATTATTGCGAGATTACTTTCTAGGAACCCTCTGAGGACTTACTAACAATCCCACGTTCCAAATAAATAGTGCTCTTCTTATGGAACAATGTGTGTAATAGGTCTATTCATTTTTCTTTCATACTGCATATGCTAATCAAGCAAGTTTGGAGACACAATGATATAAGCTCTGTATCACTGGACTCTACAACATTAATCATATTGGGAAACATGGGTTAGTGAAATACACTTTGTAGTAATGTAGTATGCAGCTTTTTCTACATTTGTGATATGTGATTCATGAAAATGGTTCTACATCATGCAAAGCAACCTCCAATATAACGTCCTTTCAGAAACAGGTATTTTTCTTTTTTGGCAGAATTAGAGATCGAAGCCATGACCTCATACACATCAGGCAAGCACTCTAAGCTGTACTCTCTGGTCAGACATTATTTGTACTGTTTATTTTTTGGACCTTTTAATATCATTTTTTATGACACCTATTTTATTTGAATGGTAATAATGGCAGTACATACAGTGTTTACACCATTTTTCTTACCACACATCAGACATTTTGAAGTCATTCAGTGCACAGATCCTTTCAAGATGAACTTGGGGAAAAGATTCTACCATCTTTGGATCATTAGCTGTCATTATGTCTAATACCTGCAGGTATCAGAGGTGATACTTTCACATGGAAGTATGACAAAAAATACTCATAAAAGAAAGATTCTTAAGACTTGTGTGTTGTTAAGATATTTAACTAGAGGAGCTGCAGCTGAAAGAAGGCATAGGATATTTACCAACAAGAAATTTAAAGGGAATTTAAAAAAAATTTTTCTTTTGAAATTTCTAAAATGGGTTATAATATCCAGAGCTTAAAAGCAAATAAAACTAAAAAACAAGACAAAAACTAAAAAAAAAACCCCAAAAACCCTGATTTTAAAGGGGATGAATTCAACCATGATATACACTAAGAACGTTTGTAAATGGCACAACAAACCCCTAGTACAACAATAATATGACAATGAAAAAATGTAAAAGAAAACCTGACTTTACTTCTTTTGTTTCTCTTTGTGTTCAGACTATACACTCCCATTTTCTGGGATGGATGGTGGAAGCTAAGCTCCACTTTAGGAAAACATCCTAAGAGATTTTTCTCTATTTTCTGGATAAGAATATGGCTAAATTCAGCTAAACCCAATGAGGATGAGATGTAATTTTACTGTATGGTGGTTATATACTTTGATAACCGTATTTCTTAAGAGTATATGGACAACAGGGCTAGAGGCGTGGCTGAGGTGTTAAAATGCCTGCCTAGGAAGCCCAAAGGCTTGAGTTCAAACCCCAGAGCCCCTCAAAAAAGTGTATAGAAAACAGAGAATTTAAAAAAAAAAAGGAAAAAAGAAAAAGTGATATCTTTACAGTATCTAGTAATTTAAGTTTGATAGAGTACTTTAAAAAGAAATGTTATATTAAAAATATTACTGTATGAAGGACTTATTTTCCTTACCTTTTTGGACCTCCAGCAACGGCAGTACACAGCTTTATCTCCCAGATCTTCCATGTCAAAAGCATGTACTATCTTGGGGTTGTCTTTCTGGATGTGAAGGTTCACCATGGCTTTATTTCGATTATCTTTAACATAAAATCTTTTGTAAGCTAGATAACCAAGTGCAGCTGTCCCAGCAGCAATGGTAACTGCTGCAATCCATTCAACTGGTGCAGGGAAGGAAAAGAGGAATAATCATCAAAACCAAAATATACACTAATTATCTGACATGAATGTTCAGGAAATCAACTTTGAGTACTAAGCAGCCCAATAATCAAAGATTTCTGATGTTAACAAAATAACCAGAACATACTGGCACACTAGTCCTTTGTTTAGACTTTCCACAGCCCGTATAACTAAGGCAGTCATGATGACAGAAAGGGAAAACAAAGATTATTTTTCCTTCTCTAGAGAAGGAAAAACAAGGTTTAGTAATCTTTCTTGAAATATTCATAAATAGGTTTTAAATAACTTATGAGCCTGCAGGTATCACTTAAAAGGAAAAAAATAAAAGCTAAAAATTAAAAATTTAATTACAAACATGATAAAAAAAATCAGGTCATTATGTTAACAAAATGATTCATGAAAGCTCATTTAAATAACAAGGTACCTTAGTGATTTCAAAATTATTCCACTTATCAAAACTCAACTGCAAGTACTTTATAAAGCATGACATGACTATAAACAGAATTAGTATCTGAAGAAAAAGAAAAAAGGAACCTATAAAAAAAAACCACTCAATGCTAAACAGATATAGGTTTCTAGGCTGCAAAGTCATTCAAAAGTCTTTTTTTTAAAATTTTCAATGTGTTTATTAAAATAAAGGTCGGAATATACTAATTTCATACAACACGTGACTAATATAATTCTATCTTCATTTAATAAATTCTAAATTTCTATTATCTACAAATAGATGATTAACTGAATTCCCTACAAACTTCATGCCAAGTTCAAAGATTATCATTTTACTTTCTAATAATAATAAAAATTTGCTTAACTAACAGGCCATTTATTTATTCTTTTTTTGCGTCCAAGAAATCCTTAGAAACCCAAGTGCTTAACAATGCCCCCAGCTGAAGGTAATGATGGAGAGAAGAAAGTTCTGCATAGTCTGGTTAGCCTCAGCCTCAGCCTCAAAGATTTGTCTGTTTCCAGCATGGAGGGGGCTGCAGGAAGATGGTGAACAGGGGTCAGGATAAGCACGCTGGACGGCTTCCCAGCACTTCCTGAGTCAGATCTTCAGTGTCTGAAATAAGTTCCCAGACTATCAAATAAAGCCCTAGAGAGATAAGTACAAAAAACACATTCCAAGGCCAAACAAAAACACGTAAGAGCAATTAACCCTATGGCTTATTCATACTATTGAGTCAAAATTTCTTATCTCCCTAATGTGACCAACAGCCATACCTGACTGTGGCCTTAACTTGGAGCTCAAACTCAAACTCCAAAATGTAAAAGGAACCATAATTCTCACACTTCATCCCTTTTTTCTTGGTCTTCTAGTTTATCTAATAATTTAGTTTTTATCAAGTGTTTCTAATTGGTATGTTCTGTAAATTCTATTTTCAACTACAGTTGTAGTTTTTTGTTTTTGTTTTTTATAAAATTGATTGTTTACCTTACCACATTTCCATTCCTCCTTGCTAAAGTCCCCTAAAGTAAACATTAACTAATGTTTTTGTGCTTCCTAGGTGCTGCGTGACTGAGAAAACAAGTTAGGTCATTTGACAGCTTCAAACCTTTGGCCTCAGCACAGGCTGTTTACTAAATACACATTTCATGCAGATTTCTCTTGAATTTTAGTGCTACTTGATGGCAAGCTTGCAACTTTGTTCATCATTTTCCTCCTTTTTTTTTTTTTTTTGAGGACTGTGGTTTGAACTTGGGTACATCTTGAGCCATTCCTCTAGCCCTTTTTTGTGATGGATTTTTTTCAAAATAGTCTCACAAACTATTTGCCCGGGCTGGCTTCAAACCAAGATCCTCCTGATCTCTGCCTCCTGAATAGCTAGGATTACAGGCATAAGTCACTGGCGCTGTGCTGTTATCTTCCTTTGTGATGCATCATTTACCGTGGGACTTTCTCGAGAAAATAGTTCCAATGTCAGGAGCTACAGCAATCACTTAGTTAATGGAAAAGGACTTTGAGTAGCTAATGTACATATTATAAAATGATAAGTCAGGTATGGTAGCACACATCTGCAATTCTACTTTTTGGGGGACAGAGGCAAGAGGATGGGAGTTCAAGCTTAGCTTGGGCTACCTAATGAGACTCTGATTCAAAAAGATAAAAACAGCAAGCAAGACTCCAAAATGGACTATAATATTACTTTGCACAGTACATGCTCAACAATGTTTGCTGAATGCTGTCTTTAGTATAAATTTAAAAGGGATTAATATCCCAAAAGAGTAAAGTAACACAACTCCCTAAATGTTGTTGATCTTCATTACAGCGGACTTTTTAGGTAATTATGAATTTTTTTTTTTTTTTTGTAGTGCTGGATGGAACCCAGGGCCTTGGGAATGCTAGGCAAGTACTCTACGACTAAGCCACACCCCGCAACATATCCTTTGATCTGTTTATTTCAATGCTGCCTACATATTGCAAAAGGTCCTGAGATCCAAAGAACAACTACAATTGGGTAGTATCAATGTTTCATGACATAAAAGGAATCTATACAAATTTCTATGTGAAAGTTATAATAGGTTAAGAGAATCTCTTCTATTCTCTTTTCTCACATTACCAGGTAAATGCCTAGGGTGATATTAAAAAAACAAAAAAGCTGTTACATCTCCGGATTTTTTTTGAGGACTGGGGTTTGAGCTCAGTCTTCCACACTTACAAAGCAGGTGCTCTACCTCTTGAGCCACACCTCCAGTCCATTTTGCTTTGGTTATTTTGGAGATGAGGGTCTCTAGAACTATTTGCCCGGGGTGGCCTACCACTGTCACCCTTCTAATCTCAGACTCCCCATAGCTAGGATTATAGGTGTGAGCCATGGGTACCTGGCTTCTCCTGGATTTTTTGATGGTGGCAGAAACAAGAGTGATAATGTGAAAAAGAAGCAACACTACAGGTATAGCTTAAAGAAATGGTGCAACTGTAAGTATTACCCAAGAGTGGCTGTTCCACATATAATCAAAACATGGACTCTGTTGATCCATACCCAGGAAGGGTCACTTATGATCCTAAATAAATGTCGGAGGACCGTATGTGTCCCAGAAAAATAGCTTTGTATTTGCTCCAAATGAGTATTTTAGAATCACAGCTAGAAAAGGTCTTAAGAAAAAAACATGTCCATTTTTTTCATCCTTACCAAATTCTAATTCTCTAATATTATTAAAGACAAATGTTAAGAGTTCCCACAAGTTAAAAAAAATGTTGCTATTTTATCATTTCACGACTGTGGCCTGAATCAGCTGTTTCTGGCAAAAAGCTGCAAATGCCACTGGCAATCCCGGAAAAAGAAGGAAAAGGAAAATACACTAGACAAAAATGATAACAGACACAAAAATCAACAATTAGGACAGAAAAAGAACACAAGACCTGAGAATGTGAACAAATAACACAACCCAAGTAACATTCAGTCCTTGATAGGTATATGCCTATTAAGAATAACCATAATCCCAGAGGTAAAAAAAAAGGGACTTTACCAAGACCTAACTTTTAAAGGTTTTTCAGTTGGCATCTTTCAGACACTGGGTCAGGACTGTGGTTCCCCAAAATCTAGAGTATTATTTCTACATCTTCTTGTTTATCCCCACTTCCCTTTCTGTGGACATTTCTCCAGGTATACTTTATCCGGCCCAACCTTGCTTAATAATGCTACCTACACATAACCCATTAAAGAAGGAGAAAAATTAGAGAAAGGTAACATTCCTAAATATCCTACCCCCTCATTCTCCATTCTTCCCTTGGCCTACTTTTGTATATCTTTGGCTTCTCTGTTAAAATTATTCAGAGGCGCTGGGGGCATTAGTCAAGTGGTAGAAGTGCCTGCCTAGCAAGCGGGAGACTCGAGTTAAACCTCAGTACCATTCTCTCACTCCCAAAAGAAATTCATAGAGAAAACATGGACAGGGCCCCAAACCTCACACCCTTATTTACAACTGATTCCTCAGTCTTTCTTTACCATGAGGATTACTTTGCTTTCAATTAGAAACCCCACCCTTCTTCTTTTCCTTTAGCTCCTTTTCTGCCCCAAACTGCCCTTACCTACCACTGTCAACTGCCACAGAATCAGAATGTTCCTTAGGTCAGAAGGGGGAGGGGAGCTGCGTTGAAACTCATCCCTCCCTGAGATTTTTGTAGCTGAGCTAGTAATGGATTATTCTCAAGGTCGGCACAACCATGGCATTCAATGCTAGCTGAGCAAAAAGAATAATGGGTGATTAGTTTAATTTGTAATTCCATCTGTCCATCCTACCATTGCATTGCTCTTTGCCCTCTTCTTAACCAACTGTATTGAAGTTTACAATTTACACCCTGAGATTAAAAAATAACAACAAAAACCCTCAAAAAACATCAGTATGGAACATTTCCAACATACAGGGAATATGGAAGTGGGTTCATTTACCCTGATTTGGTTCTAAAACGCATGGCCAACCTTGTTTCACCTATAGCTCAAATTCTACTCCCCTCGTTATTTATTTACTGTTTATATCCCACAGGAGGTATCTCTTTTTCTCTCAGTATGATCTGCATATTGCTTTCAAGAAAAAAAAAATTTTTTTGAGCAGTATTGGGGTTTGAACTCAGGGCCTCACACTTGCTAGGCAGGCAGGGGGTCTACCGCTTGAGCCTCTCTGCCAGTCCTTTTTTTGTGAAGGGTTTTTTCGAGATAGGGTCTCCTCACCTATTCTCCCGGAGCTGGCTTTCAACTGAGATCCTCCTGATCTCTGACTCCTGAGTAGCTAGGATAAACCACCGGTGCCTGGTGAAAAAACTAAATGGTTATTTTCAATTACTCGATGAATTTACTGAACCACCATGTTAGTTAAGTGAATTGTAAATGATTAGTTTTAATAAAATACAGCAGGATATTAAAAAAAAAAACACAAAGGAAGAATTTATGACATGAAGTTTGGGTTACATGTGTTGTAATGACCAGGGTTTGGAATGGATAGTAATCCATTCCACAGATGGAGAGATAAATCTTTTTTTGTAAGTTGGAGGTAAAGCCAAGTATGAAAAAAATGATCTGAGGGAAAGGCAGGTTAAGGAAATCTTCAAAACAATTTTTGGTTTAGTTGGCTTCTTTTTTAAGATGGTGAATTAGGAATGATTTTGGTCTGAAGAGAATAAAGCTATCTAAGGGGCTAAAGTTGAGAGTCAAAAGAGAAGGAAATGGTGTCTTGAAGGACATGGAGACAGAATGAGCCTAGTTAATCTCTTACCTGGGAAAAGGTTAGCGATGGGAGCAGATTCTGTGAGTTTTGTAGGTAATAAGTGGCAGGATGCATTCAGAAAGGTCATTTATTGGTATGAGGAAGAATCACAAGAGACGGAAAGGGCAGTGAAGGCTACTTACTGCTAGAAACTGGGAACCAATGGGCTTTTGGATCAAATTGGTAGCAAGGGCCATCACAGTGACCCAAGATTTTAATTTCGCTCACTTATTCTTATTGCCTCTCCCTAACTCAGTCCTGGCCTGATCCCGGATTACTTTTATTTATAACCTGCCTATTTTTTCCTGAATATAAAGAATTCTGCATGTGTATACACACTTTTAAGATATGTAGCACTTAACTAATGCCACAAACTATCCTAAGCCCTTTATAATTATAAATTCACTTAATTAAGAAGAGACATGATCCTCTCCTAAGTTAAAAGACGAAACTGATTTTCAATTCATAGGAGTTAATAGATTTGGTTTAGAAATGAGTGTAGAATCAAACTTTTTTGGGGGAAGTGGGGGTGAGGAAAATCTGGTATTCTTCCAACTAAATTACAGTAAGAACCAAACTTTTATGAGATCTAAACCTTAAAAGGTAAATTCCCAAGACATTCTCTGTTCCAACCTTCTCTGCCTGCCACTATACTGGAGGAGGAAGATGCTGTTAAGAGTTTATAAAGCCACTGGGCCTCTCCCCATGGCCCTTACAACAACCTTTATGAAATAAGGGTTGAAATAAAAAGCAGTTATGCCTTATATCAAAGCTGACTGCTTCATGTTTAAGCTAATACCATTTCACTAAGCGACTTGTATTCCTTAGACAACTAATGGGAAACTTGCCACTGAATTCAAAAAACTTGTCTTGACTTCAGGAAAGATTAGCTTGCAGATAGTGATAAGAAATCCTAGGGATTCACCTACCTCCTATTTCAAGAGTATGCTTCCAAAATAAGAGTTCAGTGCCCATTTACACAAAATGACCCCATATTTTAAACAAAAACACATTTTGTATTTTTGGGGCTTATCTGCACCAAAAATGTTCACAGGAACATTTTATTTTACTAAATAGTCTTATTCCCAAGAAAATAGTTTTGCCAGGTGTGGTGGAACAAGCGCTGGGGAGGCTGAGGCAGGAGGATCTCAATTTTGAGGACAGCCTGTGCTACACATTGAGACACTGTCTCAAAAAAACAGAAAGGAAATAGTTTTTGAAAAAAACAGAATAAAACACAAACATCTCTAATTTTAAACACACCAAGGTGCCTGTAATTAAATAAGGAGCCTAAAGATGAGTATGCTTTGAGATAGATAACCTTTGCAAATCATCACCTTTTTAAAAATTAGTAATTCAGAAATGCCATTATTTTTTCTCCATTTGCCAAGTAAATTTTGTTAACAGAAGAACTCTCCAGTTTATGGAATCTACCATTGCATTACAAAATTAGGGCTTAAGTTAGAAGGAACTTTTTATAGAACCGGGCACTATAGGTGATAACATGTACTGAATAAACCAATGAGACTAGTTTTAATTAACTTGTGGACAATCTCTTTACATTAACTCAATTACAATTACAGGTAACCAAACCATGGGGAGTGGCATTTTATACCGGGGAAGAGAAACCACATATATCACGTGGCCCATAAACAACAGTGGATTAACAATTATAATACCAACAGCAATGGTTATAACGTGAAACTTCACATTAAACAAATTTTATAAATTCGTCCATTTTTCATTGGACGTTTTGCAAAGCATTTTTCCCAAACATTAGGTACTAGCACAAGGGAAGGACGACAGAAAGCTGAAGGATCAAGGAACTTGTTTTCAATCCTCTCTTTGGGCTGCTGCCACCAAATGCCAGATGCAAGGAAGGGGTATAATAAAAAACAGGGAAATCTAAAGATTTAGGATTGGGTTTCTACACCTTAAAAAAGAAAATCTGCAAAACTAAGATGTGATTAGTCACGCACCACTTCTGGATCGCAGGAAATGGGCTTTCTGGTCCACGTTGATTTCAGCGTGATAAGAAGGAGCAAGTTTGTTCCCCTTTTTCCCAGGCCTTGGAACTTAAGGCCACAGAAGCATTTTGGGGGAGCACCGGAAAGGCCAAGAGCCGCATCCTTAGGTTTGGGGTTTGCTGGTTAGGGGAAACGTGGAGCAGAGCTGGGAGAATGTTTGCATCGCCGGCTTCAGGCCACGGATGCCTGCTGACACTATCCATATAACCATCTGTCCATCATCCGTCCGTCCCGCCGTCCCCTACCTTGCCCCTTCCCCGGTCCCGCCCAGAACCCGCAGACGGCCGGAGCGCGTGCCCTTGGGCACCTCAAGGTTACAGGACCCGCAGGCGCGGAGCGCAGCGCGAACCCCGCGGAGAAGCGGCGGTGCTGCCGCGGGTGCGCAGGCCGCCAGCCTCGGGCCCCGCCTCACCTCGCACGGAGTGAGAAGTCAGACTCATGGCGCCGTAGCTAGCAAGGCGTACGCGCGGGACGCCGTTACCACCCCGGTGAGCACGGCCGAAATCAAGCTAGCTGCAAAAGGCGTCCTAAGGGCACCGGCTCCTGGGGCCACCGCGCAGGCGCGGGCGGGCTGGCACGTGGGCGCGATTGCCTCTAGCAGAGGCCGAGCATGCGTGGAGCGGGTCCCCGCCGTGAGGAAGTCTCAACTCCGGACTTTGACAGCCGCTGGAGCAGGGGGCGGGGGACGAGGTGGGGAGTGAGGGGGGGCGGGAGGAGGAAACCCGAAGCAGCCACGGAGTCTGCGCAGCTCAGCGCTGCGGGGCGGGGCCGACTCGGCAATCCGGGCCGGGTTTTCCATGTCTTCCAGGTGTGTGGGTTTCTGATGGTCCAGGACAGGTGCCAGTGGGACACAACTGACCTAGCCAGACAGCTGAGATTTTTACCTAAAAATTTCCTGCTCAGTTCTGGTTTAATTTTACATGCAAGGTCAAGTTCAGTTTTCATGTAAGATGCCCGTGGCGGACTCACAAGGTGATAAGACTCCCATTCTAGACCGATTCTAGATCTGTCTTAGCTCCAGGTGTGCATTCGATCCTTAGACGTAGTTAGGGCCTTGGGTCTTGCCCGATGGGGGGAGGAGAGAGAGAAGGGAGAGAGAGAGAGAGAGAGAGAGAGAGAGAGAGAGAGAGAGAGAGAGAGAGAGAGAGAGAGAGAGAGAGAGAGAGAGAGAGAGAGATGAGACAGACGGGAGACACAAACGAGAGCAAAAGAGAACTAGAGGCACACAGGAACAAAAATTTGCTGATCTCTTCAAACAACGTGTGCCTTTACAAGACGAATTAGGACTATTCTCTAAGAGCCTAAGATTAATGTTGGTGTTCAAATTTTTTAATAAGAACAGTTTAGAGGAAGCAAAGGGGGATGTGGCTAACTAAAAGGGTGTTTTCCAGGCACGTCTTCTATCAAGCTTTTTTTTTTTTAACCTCTACTGCTTTGTAAGGGTGGGAGTCGGAAGGAGCTGGCTGCAGATCAGCCACCCTTGGCACCGCTTTCACCTCCGACTCTTCCAGTACCTGGCTGTTCCAAGCACCTGGAAGCCCCGGGCGTTTCTGGGCTCTCTCCCGGGACGGGAAACCCCAAACCGCGCTTTGAATGAATGAGGGCACGGCTACGGCGGCGGCGCCCTGACACCGGCCAGGGGTAGGGGCGGGGAGAGGGGCTAGGAGGCCCCGCCGCGCCGCGCGCGCCCCGCCGCGGGGGTCCCGTCGGGCGGCCTCTGGGCATGCTCAGTACCGCGGCGGCCGCGGGTCGCGCAGTCGGAAGCTGGCGGCGGCCGTGCGGGCGGCGTTGACGCGCGCGCGGCAGCTGAGGGGACTGGAGGACGGCGGGAGGGGGCGGGGGCGCGGGAGGTGGGGCTGCCGTCGCCGTCAGGGCTCCGGGGAGCGTGGGGCCAGGCTGCCGCCGCTGCTCCTCTCGGCTCAGTCTCCTGGGCAGCGCCGGGGCGAGCGGCCGCGGCGGCCGGGGAGCGGGAACTGAGAGTTGTGCAGGGGCGCGCCCGCGCCTCCGCGGCGGCATGGGCTCCTCTCCCGGCCCTCAGCGGGCACCAGCCGCGGGAACCCCCAGGCCTCCTCGCGGCCGAGCCTGAGGGACCCCCGGGTTCTCCAGCGCCCCCTCCCTCCGCCCTATTTTTTCTTGCTTTCGCCGGCGGCCGCCACCCCTGGTGCTCTCCGTTATGGCAACGGAGCCCCCATCCCCCCTCCGGCTGGAGGCGCCCGGCCCGCAAGAAACGCGGACCCCGCCGGCGAGCGATGCTGCCCCCGAGGGCGCCCCGCAGCCGGCGGGTGGCAGGCTGCGTTTCCTCAACGGCTGCGTGCCCCTGTCGCATCAGGTGGCCGGGCACATGTACGGGAAGGACAAAGTGGGTAAGTGAGGGGGCGCGGGGCTCCCCGCCTCCGCGAGCCCCCGGCCGGATTCCCCCTCGCCCCGACCCCGCGGTCGGCACACCGCACCCCAGCCTCTTCCGCTCTCTCCCGGAGCCAGGCCACCCGGGTAAAAGGGGGGGCTCCGAAAGTGGGGCGACTTACAGGGTGTGGGGCGTCAGGCTCGCTTGCCTGGTCTCCCCGGGGAGGGTGAGTGTTGATTGGAGAAGGCGTTAGTAAAAATAAGGAACTTCGTTTTCACTGGACGGGGAAGTAAATTCTCCCTTGAGCACAAGGTCTGTTTATTATAGGCGAATCGCTATTGCAAAAGCAAAGGAATGAAATGCAGATGATGCTAATCCAGTTCTCTGCTAGGTACAGCTGCATAGCTGAAGGGGGAGGGAAAAAAAAAGCTTGTTTTGGGGTGGGGAGCTTGTCTTAGCTTAGGGAATCTCTCTCCCTGCCCCTTGAGGTGTTTTAGTGTTGTCTTCTTGATTTCCGGGGAGGTGTGTTTCCAGTAGTGCCCAACCTGGGCTCCTTGGTAGGAGATAGTCCCTGCTGTCATATTAGGATAGTACACATATAAAGCATTTTTTTTCCCTCTTGTTCATCTTTATTGTTACTGTTGTTGGCTTTTTTTTTTTTTTTTGAGACAGAGCCTCTCTATGTAACTCAGGCTGACCTCGAACTCGTGATCTTCCTGCCTCAGCCTCTTGAGTACTGAGGTTCTAGGCACACGCCATGCTCGGGTTTCTTGTTTGTTCATCTTTGTAAGACTGTTTCATGGTCTCTGTAATACATTTTGTGAGTTCACGGTTTTAAAGCTCAGCGCAGGCCTGACTCAGTTTACTCATAGTGGTCCCCTGGGCCTGAGTACCTGGAGGAGACTCTGTCTGATGAATAAGTTGTAACTTATGGCAGATCTTCAACCCAGAACAACCATTAGAGCCAACTTGGTTTTTGTTCGTAAAATGATTCGGGTGTAGGCTGGTAAGGTAAAACTGACATTTTTAAGACAGGTAACTACGATCACGCCTGGTTAAGTGACAAGCCTAAAGTCACATGGCTGCTGTATATGTTAGAATCTGAAATCAAGGGATTTTTCTTGAAGTACCGTTTTTTTCCACTGTGTATTGTGCCTCCAGAAAGTACACAAGCTGGTATTCAATTACACTCAGGAAATGTTGAAAGAGTGAAAACGAACAGTTCTTTTAGTACTCCAAGTTAGGAAACAACACACTCAAGGTTCAGCACAGACATTTCCTTCTCTGTGTCATATCTGGGAGTAAGAGTTTGTGAGTGCTCTTGGAATTAACTGTTAATAGAGGCATGCTTTTGATTTATATTGTAATAATTTACTTGACAATAGTCTAGAAGCCTAAAAGAGTGATTGTTTGCCTTAAGGGTTCCTAAAGATTGACTTACGTACAAAGGAGAATAAACAAAAATCCGAATAAAAAGATCTATGTGATGATTGCCATTTAAGAGTGTAACTGAAAAAAATAGAGTATAATCACTGATTATAAAAAATTATGCAAGTGAGCCAGCCGTGGTTGTACACGACTGTAATCCCTGCACTCAGAAGGCTGAGGCAGGAGGATCACAAGTTCCAGGCCAGCCTGGGCTACATGGGGAGACCCTGTCTCAAGGCAATAATAATGATGATGAAGATGTGTATGTAAGTGATTCTATATAGAATTTTCTGCAGTTATTTATAAATGTACCCTGAATGTGACTTTAAACTACATCACAAACTGAATGAAAAGTAATTTGTCACCCAGATTGCCTAAAGGAGTATTTTAGATTTCAGAGAAAATAGTTCTTAATTTTATTATTACATTCAATTTAAAATACTTTCTTTTTCAATTTTATAGGGTTCTTTTGACTAAAGACAGTCACACCACAGTACTTTAAACATACTGTGCTAGCAGCCTAATAAATATTTGTTGATTTTAATTCTCAGATATTTACACAATTGTACGTATATTGTTAATACTGTAAAGGACGCCTGAATGATAATAATCTTCTGTATTCATAAAATGAATAGCCAAAGCTCAACAATTTATTATCTCTCTCCAGTATCACAAATCACTTGGGAAATACATTGTTTAGATCATACTGTGGTCTGTCAATTGAAATGATTTTCAGAAAGCCTTGTTAAGGCACTGTGAATGTTTTTGCTGTTTAATTTTTGTTACTGTCTTTAAGTAACCAGAGTTTTCATATTAGGATTGCTCTTACCTATCTCCAAAAGGAGTTGTTGGCTTTGTTAGTTTAAAAATGAAAATAGAACAAGGTGCTTGAACAGAAAAACGCATATTATAGCTAACTAACAACAACATATTAGTATCTCTGATACCAGAGTTATGTTTGTGTTTTTCACGGAAGTCATATTTCATCAAAGTACATTTACTTACTCATTTATTTATTTGGCAGTACTGGGGTTTGAATTCAGGGCCTTCCACTTGCAAGGCACCCACACTACCTACCACTTGAGCTAACATCATAGTACATTTAAATCTTAGGTCTGAGTATACAAAGTGTTTGGCTTTTTAAAACTATAAAAATGGTTAATGATTTTTTAGGAAAAAAATCAGTTTAAGGCCCTTCCCCTTACTCTCTTTCTCCCAGGATCAATCACTGGCAACAGTTTTTCTTTTCTTATATGGCAGGACTGGGGTTTGTGCTTGCAGAGCTGGCACTCTACTACTTGAGCCACACCACCAGTCCATTTTGCTCTGGTTATTTTGGAGATGGGTTCTTGAGAACTATTTACCCAGGCTGGCCTTGAATCATGATCCTCCAGATCTTAGCCTTCTAAGTAGCTAGAATTCATAGTCATGAGCCACTGGCACCCTGCAGTGGTAACAATTTTCTGTGCATCCTTAGGGACTTTGTTTCTGGACACATATATGAAAATATTAACACAATTCTTATTTTTCATACAGATAGCTATTGAAAAAGAAAATAGCTGTTTTCTTTTTCAATCTGTATTGTATTATTTGGTAGAGTCATATTTTTGTAATTACTATATGTAGATGTTCCTTAACTCACCATGGGGTTACCTCCTAATAAGCCCATTTTAAATTGAAAAAAATTAGAAAATGTATTTAATACACCTAACCTTAGCCAAATAGTAAGTACACTATTGCCGTTGTAATTTGGTGGCTGACTGGGAACTGCAACTTGCTGCCATTGCCTAGTTTGGAAACAGGATCATATTGGGTATTACTAGTCCTGGGAAGATCAAAATTGGAAATTTGAAGTACGCTTTCTGAATGCCTATTGCTTTTGCACTGTTATGAAGTTGAATCCTTGTTAAGTAGAACCATTGTAAATTGGGCATTGTCTGTACTTCACTCGTACAAAAAATAGTGTTGTATTCTATAGAGTGGATGTAGCAAACTTTGCTTAACTATTCCTTTAGTGGTAGATTTTTATATTTCTCCTTTTTTTGCTGTTGTAAATAATGTATTAAACATTTTGTACATTGTAGCTACCTTGAACATTGTTTAACTATTTCTGTAAGACAGTTTCTTAAAAGTGTAATATTTCAGTTTAAATTCCCCAAGTTTGCTAAAGTTAGCACAAAATCTTTTTCCTGTTTCAATATTTAAATTACACCATTAGTTTCTTTTAAAAGTTCTTAAAGTTTTAAACAAGTGGTTCACATCTGGAATGTGTACCTTGATTCAAGTTAGGATGTAGAAATGAGGTTATCTGTGGGGAAAATGAGGATTTAAACTGCTGAAGTTGTAGAGTAGGAAAGACCCCAGCTATTGTGGCTCACTGGTCTATCCTTACTGAAATTAATTGACATAAAATAATGTGAAGCTTACAGAAAAATTACAATAAGGGTATAGAGAGAATTTTTTTGCCAAGTTTGTTTTATTGTCTCTTTACTTACTGTTTTTTCTATTTGTGAGTAGGTTGTGTAGATCATGCCACTTTACATAGTAATACGTGTGTATTTCCTGAGAATGATAATATTCTCTTCTGTAGCCCAAGAATATTTATTAAATATGGGAAATTTATGCATATTTAATAGTGGCACAGTATTTTATAATCCATATTCTCATTTTGTCAACTGTTCCAGTATCTTTTTTTTTTTTTTTTGAGACACTGGGGTTTGAACTCAGGGCTCAACTTCCCAGACTTTCCTTTCCTTGATTCTAAATTTATTTCCCTTCCTCCACAGTGAAAACTATGACTTCTAGTGTTATCAGTCAGTATGTTTTTTCTTTGGCTCAATCCTGTAATTCTTCAGAATTTTTGCACATTTACAAAAAACAAACCTAGAATGAAGAACTCAAAGTGAAATTTCCTTATACACAGGTATGTGGTTGGAAGTCTTCAAAAGCTATTTGGATTAGGTTTTTAAAATTGTTATTCCTCTCTTTTACTTTTTTTTTTTTTTTTGGTGGGAGTGGGGTTGAACTTGGGCCTCCTGCTTGCTAGGCAGCTGCTCAACCACTTGATCTGCACCTTTTGCGCTACCCTTCTCCCATTCATAGGGATATTATTTATTTGAAATACAGTTTGGCTCAGTTATTTCTGTTTAAATTCAGTTTCCTCCCTTCCATTTTTGTTTAATTATTATTCATTTGAATGCTTACAAGTAAATAGGCTTCTGAAAAGTTAAAACTTTATAGAAAAATGTAATCAGAAGTGTTACTCCCTTTTCACCAAGTCATTCCACATTTCTTATAGTTAACCAGTTTCTTTATTTTCTGATTCATCCTTTCTGAGTTGTATGTTGCACAAATAAGCCAATCCATATGGAAGTTTGATTTCCCCTTCTTTCTCACAGAAAAGGTGGTATGCTCTATATACTGTTTTGCACTTTGCCTTTAAAAGTTAATATAACCTAGAAATCAATATACATCAGCTTATAGAGCTCTTCATTCTTTTTTCACAGCTCTGTTGTGCTCCATTGTGCATATATACCACAGTTTACTCAGCCAGTTTTCCTGATTTGCTTTAGGTTTTTTATTTATTTTCATTGGCTTATTTATTTATTTATCCTAGCAATAATACCTCATTGTCTCGACGCTGTATTAAACATCAATGAGTAGTAGAGTAAGTATCCTGTTTTCTATTTCAGGCTTTTCTTGTTTTTTTTCTGGCCCTTTGCATTTCCATATAGATTTTAAATCAACTTGCCATTCTTCCTAAGAAACCTGATGAAATTTTGTTTGGCATTGCTTTCAATCTTTCGATTGCTTTGGTTAGAATTGATGTCTTTACAATCTTGAGCCTTCCAGTACTTGAATATGTTTTATCTCTCCATTTATTTAGCCCTCTAGCTTCTCCTAGTGAGTTGTTTTTAGTGCAGAGGTCTTAACACAATTTGCTAGATTTTCCCTAAGTGTAAATTGTTCTGGCTTTTTAAAGAACTTTTTTATTTTGAAAAAATTTCAGACTTACAAAATGTTGCCAGAATAGTAAATAGGACAGTGAACTAATGTATGTCATTTATCTGGATTTACTAATTATTAATATTTTGCCACTTTTGTTGTATTACTCTTTGTAGAACCATTTAAGAATAAGTTATAGCCAGTATTACCCTTTCCTCTACATAATTGTCTATCTCCTAAGAATAAGACCATTTTTTAACCTAACCATGATAAAATGATCAAATTTCAGAAAATGGCATTTGGCTTTTGCAGTTGTCCCAAAAATATCCCTGCACTAAGATCTTAGCTTAAAAGGCTAAGAAGTGACCCATTAATATCTTTATAACAGCGCTTTCTCCTTTCCAGCATCAGACATTGCATTAGTTTTTTTTTTTTAATGTTGCTGGAATTGAACCTTGGTACTTGCACACGCTAAGCACGTAGATTACCACTGAGCTACACCCCTAGCTCCTTTATCTTTTTTAACTATAAATTTTTGAGGAGTTGCAGACACAACGGAATTTTAGAATGCCCTTTAAATTATGTTTATCTGATTGTATCATCATGATTAGAATTCAGAGTTAGGTTATGCATTTTTGCTCCATGAGTTATATTGTGTAATCAAAACATATCACAAGGCAAAAGTTATCATTTACATTATTGATGTTAAAAATGATCACATGGTAAGTGATATTTGCCAGTATGTTTTTACCATAAAGTTACCATTTTTGCTATTGTAATTAAGAAATTTGAGAGGAGTATTTTGAGATTATTATGTACCCTGCTCCTCACCAAGTTCTTTGCCAATAGAAATGTTCTAACTTTGTCATTCCATTTCAGTTGGTTCACATTCTGTGTTAAGGAAGAGATTTTCCCTGATCATTCACTTGTTATTATGATGGACTAGCAGACTTTTCAAACTTCAGTGAATGGATATTACACACTATTATTGCTTCTGTTTTGACTCAGCCTTAAATGTATGCTGTCCTAGCTTTGGACAGTGGCAGCTTCATCAGGCTGGCTCCTGGGTCTTTTTACCTTTTCCATGTTGTCCTTTAAAGCATTTTCTCACTTTCTGGCATAAGAAGATGCTCCATGTCCATTTTGTACTTCCCCTGTTCCTGGCTAGAACATTTATTGAAGTCCTACAACGTTTATTATTATGATGAAGACACAATATAAAACTTACCATCTTAACCATTTTTTACGTGTACATTTGCATAAGAGTTTCCTTTCCTTTAGAGACCTCTAAAGTCAGAACCTGGTACCATTCACTGTTTTACTTCATACCCCTTCCCCAGTCCCCCAAGGTCAGGGATGGCATGATTGGCTTTCCTTACCCAGGTAGCTTAAGACTTTTGTTTAAGAAAAATGGTCTTTTTTCTTGGAGTAGTGTTGTTTCTCTTCCTCAAGATCTGGACCTTCTAGGGTTGCCTTTTCTGGTTATTTGTCTTGCCCTGATCTTTTGTTTTCATAGTTTTGAGACTGGGTCTCATTGTGTAGACCAGGCTGGACTCAAACCTGTAATCCTTCAGATACTTGTTATGGGACTTTCTTAAAATTTATTGCTCTTTCCTTCTGTGATGGTTTGTTGACTTAATCTCAAAGTTAATTTTTTATTTAAGATATTGTACCTTTTCACTTCTGCAATTTCTTTGGTTCTTTCTTAGTATCTATTTGTCTCCCAAAATGCCTCATTACTTCAGCACTAACATCTCTTTTGTAATTTCCTTAGCATATTTAGTGATTTTTGCTTTAACATCCTGGTTTGCTAATTGCAATCACTTGGTCACTCGTGTCAGTTTTATCTATTGTGCTTTCTCTTGATTATGCATCACATTTTCTTGATTTTTTTAGCATGCATCATACATTTCTTTGGAATTTAGGGCATTGTATTTAAGGAACAATGGTAAGTAAAGTGTAGTATTTTGTGGTTTTGTCCTTTGTGAATTTGCTCATCCTCTCAGTTTTTGCTTCATGTAATTTGAATCTGTTATTGTAAGCTCTGGTACACATTTAGGATTTTTTATCTTCTTAATTAACTGACCTAATCAGTATAAAACCTTTCTCTTTATATATGGTAAAATTCGTTTTCTTCAAGTCTACTGTGTCTAATATTATGTCTTAATTAACTGACCTAATCAGTATAAAACCTTTCTCTTTATATATGATAAAATTCGTTTTCTTCAAGTCTACTGTGTCTAATATTATGTAGTTTGGTTTATAGTTATATTCCAACTTTCTAATAATTAGAACTTGCATTTCTTTTTTCTTTCTTCAAGTCCAGGGTCTTACACATTAGCTAAGTGCTCTGCCACCAGCTATATCCACAGCCCCTCTTTTTACTTGTAACCCTTCAGTGTCTTTTTATTTGAAGTGTACAGGGGTGTTTTCCATCTCTTTAGTATTTTGATGATGTTGGCTGTGGTTTTTTGTTTTTGTCTTAGAACATTTCCACCATTGTCAGATATTTCCTCAGTCTCCTTGTCTCATTTAAAAAAAAATTTCTCTCCAGTATTCTTCAATCCCATGTTTACATAATTGATTTTAAACAGAATATACAATTCTCTCAGTATATAATTACCTTACATCACAATTCTGTTTCTAATGATAAAGGCAATATATGCTTACTATAACAATTTCTGGAAGAAAAGTACAAAAAAGAAGGAAATAAAAATTACCTCGAATATCGCTTTCATGGGGTTGGGGGGGTGGGCCGGGGAAGGGATTTAGCTTCAGTTTCAGACACTATTAGCTTACTTTGGATCTGGAAGTCACCCATCTGGTATACCTGGGATTACTACTTTCTGCTTTCTTATAAAAGTTAGGGGTTGTGCTGAGGGTGAATAGCGGGGACCAAGCACTCTGTCTGTTTTGGGATATTGCAGTCTCTCACCTGCTTCCCCACATTGTGGTCTGCAGCCTGACTCATTTCTACTTGCCTGATAAAATATTTTTGTCTAGTGGGACGCTCACCTGTGTCTATGCCAGATGCAGATATCAAACTGCAGAAGCAGCTGTGGTTCTCTGCTTGGTTATGGATGCCTCAGTTTTGTCCTCTGGAATTCTGTCCATCAAGGCCACTGTAGAGAATGTTATAACCATAGGAGTAAAGCTCTTGTTCTAAATTCCAGTTTTCTGGAACAGAATTTTTTAAAATTCATTTTTAGTTATATTAGACTATTATTCTTGAAGTCCCAAAATCTTTTGACCATTTACCAACTGATCTTATCTGTATGGATTAATACTTAACCTTCCTTTTATTCTTCATCTAGGTCTTAAAATAAACTTCATTGTTATATTTCTTCTTAAATTTTTATTTCTGGTAGTACTGGGGCTCAGACTCATGGCCTCATGCTTGATAGGCAAGTACTCTAATACTTGTGCCACACCACTTTAGTTATTTTTTGGAAGAAAGTCTGAACATTTTTCCTGGGGCCAGTCTTGGACCACAGTTGTACCTGTGGCCTCCTGCATATCTGAGATTACAAATGTGAGACACTGTACTTAGCTTATTTGGTGAGATGGAGTCTTGCTAATTTTTTGCCCAGACTGGCCTCAAACCATAATCTTCCGAATCTCTGCCTCACGAGTAGCTGGGATTACAGGCACAGACCACAGTGATCAGCCACTATATTTCTTTAAGGCCTTCTGTTTTTGTTTATTAAAAGTTTCTGGCACTTGCTGAAAAGAAATAGGAACTCAGATGGAATAAGTTTTCAAAATTCTAAATAGATTTGTGCCATAGTCTGAGCATAATTTTATCAAATACTAATACATGAAAATGTAAGGTTTATATTTGGAAATGAGTGTTAATAGTTACAGAAATAGGCTAGTTTTACTGTACATGAGGTGACTTGAGTGGAAAGATTATAAAAAGGTGCCCCTTCCTGCTTGCGGCGTGGTGCCTGAGCTCAGCTTTCACTTTTCCAAATGGTACTATCTGTGCACTGTATACAGTGCATTTGACTCAGGACAATTTGTTTAGCAACTTTTACAACAGATGAGAGGCTTATGAAGCATTACCAAGTAGGAAATTTATATATGGCCACTGTGAACACATTTTTTTTTCAGTTAATAAAGTGAGTAAGTTTGTGCTACCACTTTTACCATTGTTTATTGTCCAACCATAACTTAACATCTCATGGAAAGTCTATTACTGAGGAATTTCCATAAAAATTGACGCAGATGTTGCTTTGGAAAATCTGAGGGGGCTATGAAGGAGTAGTAGTGGAGAAAATAAAAGGAAGTGATTTAGGAATTGTGTTCTCGTGCTTTGCACGTTAACAAGTACTGAAGCATGCTGCTTGAAAGTTAAAGTTTCTGAAATAAGTGAAAATAAATCCTTAGTTTATGAAAGTGGCTTACCTCTTACTTCAGGAACAAATCTGTCCTGTGATGGCAGGAGCACCATAATTAAAGTATTAAAACATTCCCAATTTCTGTCCCACAGGTATACTGCAACATCCAGATGGCACAGTTTTGAAACAGCTACAGCCACCTCCAAGGGGCCCAAGAGAGCTGGAATTTTATAATATGGTAAGTGAGGTAAGATTTGATGTGTGGTATTTTCTTACTGTGGTGGTAACTCATAGTAAGAAAAAACTTGATAGCAGCATATCCCAGGTCACTGTGTATAACGGAAACAAAAGCTTTGTGAAAAACAGTGCTTACTTTTACTGTATGTGGTGTCGTTTGTTATTTTCTATTTCATGTCGTTGAGATTCTTATTCTGAGTCAGTAAATTGATTACAATCAAGGACTGTGACCCAGAAGTTTGAAAACATTTAGCCGAGTATTTGTAGTTCTCAGAAATGCTAAGTTAGGTTAGTGTTTTTGCCATAGGATTTCTTAGAGTCTTGTTTTTTTTTTTTTTCCGCTTTGCTTTTTAAGACAGGATCTTGCCGTATATCCCAGGTTGCCTCAGACTCACCATTCTCCTGTCTCAGCTTTCCGAATGTGATGTTTACAAGCACATGCCCTCATGCCCAGTCTTTTTATTAGTGTATATCAACTGTGATACTGTATACATGAGTGCAGTGTACTTTGATCAAATTCACCCTCTGTTACTCCAGGTTTCATTTTTGTACCTTTAATATTCCATTCTGTATATGTACCACATTTTCGTTATCCGTTCATCAGTTGATGGACACCAACACTGAATCCATAGCTTGGATACTGTGTGACTAGTACTGCCATAAAAATGGGTGTGCAGGATCTCTATTATATTCCTTTGGGTACATGCCCAGGAGTAGTACAGCTGGATCATATGGTGAGGACCCTCCATACTGATTTCCATAGTGGCTGTACTAATTTACAGTCCCACCAACAGTGTTTGAGACTTCCTCCCCCACTCTCCTCAACGTTTGTTGTGTGTTTTCTTGATGATTGTCATTTTTATGACTGAGTAATACTCCATTGTGCTTATACGCCACATTTTTCTTACCCATTCACCTGTTTGTGGGTATTGGAGTTATTTTGCCTTTTGGCTTTTGTTAAAAGCGCAGTTATGAACATTCATATATAAGTATTTGTTGTTGCAGTATTTTTCCTATTTATTTGGGCACATACTTAGGAATGGTATATGGTATATGGTTTATGGTAATGCTGCATTTCATTCTGTTGCAGAACTGTCAAACTGTTTGCTAAAGAGCCTGCACACGTTTACATTCCTTTAGCAGTGTATGAGCCAGTGCTTCTCTTTTTCTGTTTTTTAAATGGCATCCTTGACATTATGAAATGTTATCTCATGGTAACTTGTTTTGCTGTGCATTTGCTTAGTGACTGAAGATGTTGAGCATCTGTTCATGTAATTACTGGTCATTTATGTATCTTCTCCAGAATAATGCCTTTTCAGATCTTTTGCCCATTTTTTAAATTGAGCCATATTTTAAATTTTCAGTTACATATTCACATTATTATTTGCATATAATGCATGCAAGGTCCCTACCAAATGTGTGATTTGTAGATATTTTCTAGAATTCTGCAGCTGTCTTTTCGTTTTCTTGGTAGTGTCTTTTGAACTACAAACTTTTAAATTTTGATGAAGTCCAGTTTATATCTGTTTTTTTCTTTTGCTGTTTGTGCTTGTGGTGAAACTGTTGCCTCATTCACGGTCATGAAGATTTATGCTTGTTTTTTCTTCTAAGAGTTTTATAGCTTCAGCTCTTTAACTTAGGTCTTTGATCTGTCTTTGTGAATGAATGGGAAGGCATCCAACATCATCCTTTTGCATATGAGTATCTAGTCATCACAGGACTATTTGTGGAGCTGACTTTACTTTCCCAACTGAATTGTTTCAGTAGCCTTGTCAGAAATCAGTTGACAGGGCTGGGGGTGTGGCTCAAGTGGTAGAGTGCTGCTGAACCTGAGTTCAGACCCCAATATCACCAAAAAAAAAAAAAAAAAGTAAAGGGGAAATGCTTAAAGGAATTTTGCTTGGTACTTGCAGTAAGGTGAATTTGGAATTTAGAGGCAGTACATTGATCACTGCTAGCATAGTTTATAGATTCTTAAATCTGTTCTCTTAATTTAAATGTCTATCCACACTTGATTATTACAGCTGTGTAGTAAGTTTTGAAATCGGGAAACATTAGTCCTCTATTTTTGTTCTTTTTGAAAATTGTTTTGGCCGTTCTGGGACCTTGTATTTCAGTTTGCATTTTAGGATCAGCTTGTCAGTTTTTGACAAAAAGCTAGTAGGAATTTTGTGATTTTTGCCTTTTATTCCTTTAGTACTATATATTACATTGATTGATTTCTTTATGTTGCACCAACTTTTCAGTCCTGCAATAAATTGTACTTGGTCAAGGTGTAGTCCTTTTTATATGCCATGGATGTGCTTTGCTAGTATTTTGGATCTTTTATTTGTAAGGGATATTGATTTGTACTTTTCATATGGTGTTTTATATGATTTTTTTCAAGAATTCATCTCACTTCTAAAAGAATTCAGTTTAAAACAACAAATAATACTAGAGTAACATGAAAACTTTAAATGCTGCAACACTATGAACCACCTGTGCCAGTTACCAATTTATTGTCCCGCTTTTAGAAATTCTCCCCTTGTTACTTCTGTGATAATGAGCTGAGTTGCTTTAAGCATTTTTCCTTTTTAGTGAGAATGTTCATTGTTAAGCATTCTCAGAAAGCACTGGGAGACATTGCAGGGAGAGGGGCTTTTCTTCTGATTCCATCTGCTGCTTCATTGGTTAGCCATGCAAGTGAGTGCTTTTCTGCTACAGCCACATGTCTGGAAATATGGGTCTTCAGTAACCTCAAGGCCCTGGCCCAGCCTAGTGATCACCTTCCTGTAGCCTTCCTAATATGGAGGGCTCCTGTGTGCACTGGCATCCAGACTTCATATTTGTCTCCTGTCCTGCTCCTGAGATTGACATCAGGCATTCTCGATCTCTTGTCTAATGTGGCAACCCAACATCCCCTGTGTACCCATGTGCCTAGCCACTGACTGTGTCTTACTTGCTTCCGTAAGGTTGTTTCATGCATACCCAGTTTTAGCCAATTTTGAGTTGGTTAACCTAGCAGACCTCTCTGCTGTCCAGTGGGCTGCCATTATGCCTTCTTCAGTAGGGTCTGTTTAGGAAACAGGCTCTCTTTGCAAGTTTGTCCTCAACCTTAGGGTACCTTCGAGGATTCTTTTTGTATTTTCTAGTTGTCTTTTTTTATTATTGCTTAATTTTTTATATTAAATGTCCATTTCTTAAATTATTATGTGGTTTCTGTCTATGATTCCTATAAGACTGATGCATGTTTCTATGGGGAATCATCTCTGAAGATGTCATATGAAGTTGTGCAGTTTATGCCTTTTGTTAGTTTCAGAACTTTATCATTTTCATTCACATACTATGTAAACATACTTGAGTAGAAACCCTAAATGCTTTCCAAAGCTTTGTGCTTAAACTATATTAATTGTATAGCATAAATATTGTGATGCTTACCTGTGATGGATGTTTAGTTATTGCATTAGTCTAATGTGTGGTTTTCCTTGTTGATATCTATGGCTCCTAGCCACATACATAATCAGTGAGATTTATTATCTGTGTGTTTGTGAGGCCCAGACCTTGTGAAATTATCTGTACATGGGTTTGAAAATTGCTTGTATACTGTGCTCATTTATTGATTCATTGTAGCCCTTTGGATTATAGGCTTTTTTTTTTTTTTTTTTTGCAGTGAGGTTTTATACTCAGGGCCTTGGCATTGCTAGGCAGGCACTCTACCATTTGAGCCACTCTCCTAGTCTCTTTGTTTTTGTTACTTTTCAGGAAGAGTCTTGCGTTGTCCTAGGCTGGCCTCAGACCTAGATCCTCCTACATATGCCTCCTGCATAGCTAGGAAGACCTCTCTGCTTATAGATGGCTATTTTCTCTATGCCTTCCCATGCTGTTCCCTCTGTGCATTTTATGTCCTAATTTCCTGTTCATCTGAGCATACCATTTTATCAGATTAGGGCCCACCCTAACAGCCTTATTTAGCCATATTGATCACTTTGTATACTGTCTCCAAATGTATTCAGTCGTAGGTCCTGGGTATTAGGACACATGAGTTTTGGTGTATCACATTCAGCCCATAACAGTGCGCTAAAGTGAAGGTTTGTTTTTTTCCCTCTTATGTCAGTGATGTGATATTGGCATGTTGACTTTGAAATTACACAGATTGTGTCCTAATTTTCAGTTTTACCATTTGGCAGTGTGACTGTGGGCCATGGCTGATTTTCTCCAAGCTTTATAGCCCATGGAGATGTTAATATTTGATCTTTTAAGTTCTAATGTTGGTAGATGGCATCCCGTGCTCCAGATGCGATGCTTCAATGATATGCCATATTCATGTTCTGCTTAGTACACAGCATTTCTTATTTAGTATCTGGCATTTTTCAGGACTTTTTTTGTAGAGAAGCAGTAACTTATTTTTTTATATTTGAAATTTAATTTCTGGTGAAATGAGATTCTATTATAATATAGATTGTGTATGAAGTTTGTTGTAATGAGGTTTTCCTGTAAGTGTGCTCACCTATAAATGTATTTGCATTTTAGACTTGCCTTAAAACAAAGAACTTCTCTTCCCTCCATCAAACAGTTTAAGAATAATTTATTTACTTGTTAGCCCAGAATATGAATAGCCTTAATAACCATTAAATTTGTGTGGAATTTTAATTTTGAGAATACATGGAATGCAGGCCATTGTATTGTGTCTACAATATTAAACCATAAGCTGAGTATTGGATTTCTTGTTTTTTGGTTCAGTGTCAGGCCTTTGTGGAATGAATACAGTTGGGTGTATTTACTTAGCCATACATTTAAAGCATTCTGTGCTGGAGCAGTGGCTCAGGTGCCTGCCTAGCAACCGTAAAGCCCTGAGTTCAAACCCCCAAACCACAAACAAACCAAAAGTATTCTGTGCTATTTTTTTCTTAACTATACTTGTTCATATTGTACCAAATTGTAGGTTTCTATTTGCAAAATGTGGTTACATTCTATATATATTCTACATTCAGGTATTTGCATAAGCTAGTATGTTGTCAGGTGTGCTAGTTT